GCTGTAACCTTGGGCCAAGCCTCTCCAAAGATTTCTAACAGTCAGGAAGCACCCAATAAAAGAAGAAAATTATGAGGGAAGTCTCACACACGCACACACACACGCACACACGCACCCACCCACACACACCCACACACACACACCCACACACACACACACACACACACACACACACACACACACACACACACACACACACACACAATGGTTGACTGATTAGCACATCTGCCTCACAGTGCAGGGTTTTATTCCGTCTCCGGCCTTCCTGTGGGGAGTTTGCGTGTTCTCCCTGTGCCTGCGTGGATTTTCTCCAGGTAGTGCGGTTTCCTCCCACATTCCAAAAACACGCATGGCAGGCTAATGGAACACTCTTAATTGTCCCTAGGTGTGAGTGTGAGCGCGGACGGCTGTTCTGTGTGCCTTGGCTGGAAACCAGTTCAGGGTGTCCCCCGCCTACTGCCCGAAGGCAGCTGGGATAGACTCCAACAGCGCCTGCGACCCTTGTGAGCATAAACGGATTGGAATATGGATTGATAATGGAGTATTGCCCACATGAGTGCAAATATGGATGGAGATTTTTTTGGAAAGATGTTTTAATTATATATACATACATACATACATACATACATATATATATATATATATATATATATATATATATACATACACAGCTTCTAGAATGGAAATAATCCCACTTGGTGTGATAAATTTACTTCAAAAAAGGTCTGAATGTCAAACAGCTTCCAGAAAGAATTGCATTCAAGTTGCAACAACAGTTGAAACAAGCTTAAAGCTTTTACTAAATGTTGATCTGGCTTTAAACCATGCCATTCCCATGATTTACACCGCATGACCTTTAAAACCCATATATAACCCTTTGTAACCTTTAGCCTTGAGTTACTTGCCATGCGAGTGAGAGACTGATGGTTTTAGGTCATTCGATTGCCAAGTCACCGAGCAGAGCTATGCAGACATCTCCAGACCAGTCCGGACAGTCTTTTCTGAGCCAGCCTTGAGTGGGAATGACGCCAGAAACTCTGTGTGTGTGTGAGTATATCGGGTAGAAAATTAAAGTGACTAACACTGAAAGGTCACATTTCAAAAAGGCTTAATGGCAAAGTCGGAACGTACCAGTATAAGAAAGCGCAGAGAACGCAAGTTAGAATTGCCCTGCTACAAGGATGTGGGGGGGATTAGCTAAATTAGCATTTCACAGTGTCATGGAGAGGGAATAACACAGCAAGCTCGCCACAAGAGACTCACTTCAACAGGCTGTCAAGGTTATCATTGCCTCAAAACAAGTACTTCTATGATGGCAGACAGAGGGGAAACGTCCAGCCCTTAAGCAATGGTGCATCAAGCGAGTGTTTTGGAAAACAGAGACACCACAGCAGCATGGGGCCTAACATGGGACAGCGTGAAAAATGTGACCTCGTACCTCAGAATTCCAGATTAGCCGGCATACCTCTAGTGAAGCTGTTCACATTGCCAATATATTACATTTTTCCCTTTTCTTTTACTGTGCCTATAGAGAATGGGCAGCAGGTGATACCACACTGGTATTTTTAGAGCCTGTTCTTTTACCACATGAGTTCTCTTACACTGATTAGTGGAGTCGATGTGTTTGATTTTGGACCGCAGCCTAATACTTCTTTCCTGCATTCATGAAGTAATATTTTAGTTGAAGGACCAAAACTACTGTGATTTTACCAGAAGATAAAAACAATGGTGACAATGTATAACATAGAATCTTGCAATCTTTTGTATTCTTATTTGAAAGAGTAATGGACTACATTTAAATGCTATCAATATTGGGGTTAAGTTCAAAATTCTAGTTTGTAAAACATTTGAAATAGCTCATCTAAAATGCGTGAGTGCAAAGAATTACCCCATCTAAACCACGACGCATGGACAACGATGCAATCAGACGTCTGCTTCTTACTTTCTCACGTCAATAAAAGACATTCTCGCTCCAAAGTGTGGTGCTGTGCTCTGTCTGAGTTTTGTTATGTTTGTTTGCCTCTGCTTGTGGATCTTTGGTAGGTTGCCTGTCTGACGCCGCCTGCACACAAATAGTTCCTATACTCCAAAGACCCAGGAACTCTTCAGAAAGTCGAACCTCCTCCCCTTTATCACACCTTTACTTCATCTTTGTTGAATTATGTCATCAGATGAAGGCGAGATGAAAAGGTGCTTCCTTTCCAACATAGGAAAAGACAGCGGCCTTTCAAATGAATTCGAGTGCACTTTACATAACTGACATCATCGAGTGACGTCTGTTTCTTGGCCTCATTGACACTTCACGAATGACAAAAAGTTCTATTATCATTTTATTTATTTATTTAATGTCTTGAGCATAAAACTTGAGGGAAAGCCAACTACATCGGTGTCCTGTTGCTGCCGGAAAGAATTGTGCTGAATATTCTTTTGTAAGTTAGTCAGGACTAACCTATGCTAAAGGGGCTTTGAAGGTTGCATCCAGGCAGCTTTCCTGAATGATCCTATCATCCAAGTACTTCCGGGTCATCTCGCTCGGATAGTATAGAAAAAGAAATTTCCGACGCAAAAATGAGAATTTGAAGAGGCGCCAAGATTCCATGTGAAGAGAGCATATGCAGAAGACAAATCAATGTTCCAGTCAATGGAGATATTACGAACTGCGTTGTTATGATCACATATTGAGGTTCGAAAAGGAGAAACCCTGGGCTCTTAATCAGGTTTTTAAAAACCAGAGCATGAGCATATTTGGGTTTTGGTCAGTGTTTACATGGCCTTGGCTATTGCCAATATTCTGGTTTTGAGAGGCTTATTGACTGCATTTCCACTTAGTCATCGTTTCCAAATTGAAGCTCGGCTCAAACAACACTGCAAGCTCATTGTTTTAAATAAACAGGAATTGGTTAAGATTGTTAACATGACACATTACACTATTCACCAGTTTGTTCAAACGCTTGAGTGACAAACACGTGCCATTGTGAGGTTTAGTCCACGTTGTCTCCCTGCAGAACCTGCTCTACTTAGAGTTCACTCCAAGCTCTGATTATTTTTACGACAAGGCATATTAGTAACTTACACTTACAAAACATATGTGACTGTAACAGATACACCAAAAATAAATGCAGAACTTTTCGCACATGCTATTTGCAGAACTATTTTGTTGGACACTGTACCAGGTCGATTGATGAGTATGAGAAAATGGAGTCTCATAAGGTTAGCGTATCAAAATGACAGAATTGATCCAGATGTGTGATTTATAAAGAGGCCTTTCTGGATATCTCTACATTGCCACATAATTTGCTGTGGTATGAACTTAATTGTGAGTGTCGCATCTTCGTAACATCCTTGTAATGTGTTTTTGCTCACCTGGACAATGTCGAGCACCATTCCTGCCGCCACTGTCCCAAACCCAGCCAGCAGGAAGGGGAAAACCACCTGCAGACCAATGGAGAAGGAAGTTTCTTTGAGGGGTGCCGGTGGTTCAGGGCTCTGGTCATTGCTGGTGTCGTCGCTCTCATTCTGGCTTGCATTCTCCAAGAGAGCATCCTCCTCACGTTGACCTTTGGCATTAGCCCGACAGTCCATCACAGCAACAATCTCCAGCCTTTCTTCATTCTCGGGGGTTTCATTGGCCATTTCTGCGAAAGACGTTACCTCTTTCAGCTCAAACTCACTCCCGGTTTTTGGGTTCCCTTCCTCAGGTCCCTGAGTGAGGATCACCGGGTGCACAATGGAGTTGGAGTTGAGGAAGGCCGGCGAAAGGGGCCCTCTCTCCTTCTTCATCTCAACAGCCCCGGAAGACATTTTGATGTCGGGCAGTTTGTCTTGTTCTTTCGACCAAAGTACCATGCGGAAGCCTTTGGAAGACAATGGGCTTAGCAAGAAAGTTTAGACTACGTCTTCCTAAAGTCACTGGACCACCTGACCTGGTTTTGACCCTGATCGGTCTAAGTAATTTATCCCATTAAAAAGGTGGAGAGGGGGTGATCTTATTAAAAGCCCAAATGGAATTTGTTCAGAGGGGGAAAAAATTGCAGCAAAGCACATGGATCTGTTTGTCTGCACACCCTGTGTTCCTGTCGGTGTTTTGGGAGCAGGACCAATATGTTCTCCATTCAATGCAAGTGGCTCCGTGTGGGCTGGCAAGAAAAAGAAGAAAGCGTCTTAGTTCAATGACTTGGCGGATGGACTCACCAGCCCCATTAGTCAGTTCTCAGGAGTTCTTTTTTATATTCTTCTTACAGCATGGCTTTAAGTTAAATGTAAACAGTCAAATGTCTGGAGGAGCTAGATTGCAGTACAGGCTGGTCTTGCTCTCAGTCTGATCACAGTCGACTAGTTGGTATAACGTGCTGGCGATGTCTCACCTTACACCACGTGGCTGCTAGGGAGGTCTTTTCACTGAAGATATTTAAAGGTCTGCTGCACAAGGATTGAATTACCAGCCACAGAAAGGGACTTCTCCGAACAGAGTGAACCATAAGCTGAAAGAAGAACATATCAATTGATTAGATATAGTCTCAATCAAATTGAAACAGCAACCAGCCCAAGACTGTACAGAACAGGAGGAATGATTTTTTTTATGCATATATACAGTATACTGGATTTTAAAGTAGTGCCTCAGAGCCCCAATCATAATATACATAAAGTAAACGTGCAGAGGAACTACAATTCCTACATCTACAATATACTGGAGTTTTGTCATCTGACATAAAAAAGTGCCTGAGAGACTCTGTTGGATTTACAAAAAAATTATGGACATTGGTTGCATGCATTAAAATCCTGTTTGACCAACATTAATATTATTTCATTTTCTGTAACAGTCATGTTGGTAAAAGATGATTTGAATGTGTGAAACCAATTTCCATATTTTTACGTAAATCCAACAGACTTTTTTTTTTCAGTGCAACCTACTGTAGAACCATATTGCACATATATGCTTGAACAAAAGTGTCGAATAGGCTCCAGCAGGCCCGCGACCATTGTGAGGATAAGCGGATAAGAAAATGGATGAATAATGACAGTAACAATTATTATGATGACCATACCATTTTCTACCGCTTATTTGGGATCACTGAGATTGGCTGGCAACCAGTTCAGGGTGCTCCCCACATACTCCCAGAAGACGGCTGGGATAGGTTCCAGCAAGCCCGCAACCCTCATGAGGATACAGAGGTTTAGATAATGGATGGATACATGGATGGATGGATATTCGGGAGTGGGTCGCAGAGACAGCAGCTTTACCAGAGAAGCCCACATTTCCCTCTCCCCAGCCACCTCTTCCAACTCTTCCTGAGGGATCCCAAAGTGTGCCCAGGCCATCTGGGAGACATAGCCTCTGTAGCTTGTCCTGGGTCGTCCCCTGGGACTCCTGTTGATGGGACATGCCCGAAACACCTCACCAGCGAGGTGTCCAGGAGGCATCCTAATCAGATGCCTAAGCCACCTCATCTGGCTCCTCTCACTGCGGAGAGGTAGCGGTTCCACTCTGAGTCCCTCCCGGATGAATGAGCTTATCACTCCACATAAAGGAGGAAACCCATTCCAGCTGCCTGTAGCCAGGACTTTGTTCTTTCGGTCACGACTCATAGCTCATGACCATAGGTGTGAGTAGGAACGTTAATCAACTGGTAAATTGAGAGCGTCACCTTTCGGCTCAGCCCTTTCTTCGCCACGACAGACCGATACAGAGTCCGCATCACAGTAGACGCTGCACTGATCTTCCTATCCATCTCACGCTCCATTCTACCCTAACTCGTAAACACGACCCCAAGATACTTAAAATCCTCCACTTGGGGCAGGATCTTATCCCTGACCTGGAGAAGGCACCCCACCCTTTCCCGACTGAGGACCATACTCTCAGATTTGGAATTGCTGATTTTCATCCCAACCACTGCTCGTAAACACGACCCCAAGATACTTAAAATCCTTCACTTGGGGCAGGATCTTATCCCTGACCTGGAGAAGGCACCCCACCCTTTCCCGACTGAGGACCATACTCTCAGATTTGGAATTGCTGATTTTCATCCCAACCACTGCACACTCGGGTGCAAACTGCTTGAAGAAGCCATCAGTACCCCATCATCTGCAAAAAGCAGAGATGCAACACTGAGGCCACCAAAGCGGACACCGTCATTGCCTCGGCTGTGGGCGACAAATTCTGTCCTTAAAGATTAGGAACAGAATGATAAAGGTCAGCCTTGGTGAAGTCCAGCCCTAACTGAAAACAAATCCGACTTGCTACCGGCAATGTGAACCAAATCGGTGGTACATGGATTGAACAGCCCGTATCAGGGGGATCGGTGCGCCATATTCCCGAAGCACAAGTTGTGTCCTCCAATTAACAGGTGTCTTCAAACTTGTCAACCAAGTAGATAGGGTGAGACAAGTAGCCACTGTGATGTTTGGTGACATGGTGTGTTAACATGCAAAACATAGATCAGAGAAAGTAAAGGACAGATTTTTCGCAGGAATTTCCTTTAGAAAATTAGAGGCAAGCACTTTAAAGTTGAAGGCTACAAGACCATCTCCAAGCAGCTTGGTATTCATGCGACTATAAATACGCATATTCCGAAATTTAAGATACTTGGGACTGTAGCCACCTACCCAGGATGGGGCTGCAGGTGGACAATTGATGACAAATTAAAGAGGTTGATAAAAAATGGTCAGAAAAGAGCCCAGCACAACCTGCAAAAAAATTAAAAGTGAACTTCAAGGTCAAGGTTCCTCAGTATCAGGTCACACTATCATTGTTTGAGCCAAAGTGGACTTCATGGGAGATGACAGAGGAGGATGCCACTGTTGAAAATAATGATTAACAATTGCTAAACTGTTGACAAGCCAGAAAGCTTCTGGGAGAATGTCCCATAGTCAGAGGAGACAAAACTGAAACCGGAAACTTTTGGGAAGACGTATCAGCTCTATGTTCACAGACGCAAATATGAAGCATACAAATACCAAGAAAGGAACACTGTCCCTACTGTGAAATGTGGAGGAGGCTCTGTTATATTTTGGGGATGCTTTGCCACATCATGCACGGGGTGTCTCTAATCTGGGGGGGTTCACGCTACATCCCTGTCAGAAATCTGTGCAGCCCCAGTTAAGCCCGCCCCCGCTGCATTATGTTTGATATTCTAAAATATATTTTACAATGATTTTAGGGAGACCCCACTCAACCCCATTGTATTGGTCAGGGAGAGAAAAATCCTGATGCCGTCCCTGATCAGAAAACACGGTTTCAGTTGCTGGCCTTGGATCTTGCAACTGGATAATGACCAAAAAGGCAGATGAAAACACCCAAGAATGGCTCAGAGCAAAATGTTGGACTTTTCTGAAGTGACCTTCTATGAGCTTTTATCTTAGTCCTATTGAAAATCTATGAAATCTATGGAAAGAGCAGAAACATGCCATCTGTAGAATGCACTCCTCAACCCGAGACAACTGGGACAGTTTGCTCATCAAGACGGGGCCCAAACACCTCCTGAGAGTTGCTGAAGTCTCACTGAAAGTTGCAAAAATCATTTGATTGCAGTAACTGCATCAAAAGGTTATGCAACAAAATACTAAGATAAGGGCAGTCTCATTTTTGTCATGAGTTTAATTTATTCAAGTAATTCGATTGAATACTTCAAGAGCAATGTCTGATTTGCATTGGTTAATTTTCATTAAATTTGAAATCATTTGTAATAATTATTATTTCCTTAACTGTTATTATTTTCTTTAAATCACAAATCGGTACCAACTATGACAAAGACTTATCAGTAAAATGTTTTTTTTTTGTAAAATCCATAGGCGTAAGTAATAAGAAGCAAGAAACCAAATATTTTAAGCATAACTAAACAATGGCTACTGCAGTCATACGCCCTCCGAAAATCTTTGTCAAGTAAGACCAGTTTTTCATTCCTTTCAAAATAAACAGTACCATAAACCCAAAACAACAAATGAAGTAAACACCATGTGCAAAATACAAGACAGCAAATAACCCAAAGAGCAGAAACACTGAGAAAATATAGCCCAATTATTTTGACACTATGTTTAAAAAAAAGTTCTTTTGAATTTTTAAATTTGATGGTTTTATTCCTATTGTTGTTTATTATTCCTAACTGCTATAAATAAACAGCCCACAGAAACAAAATCACAAATCTCCCACTATGGAGACTCGAAATGTTCATACTAATGCACTAAATTACATTTTCCAATGCAGTGGTGGGAAGTAACAAGTACAAGTACAAACATTTTGTAACTATACTTTGGTAATTTATTTTCACATATCTGTACTTGAGTATTTATTTTCTGATAACTTTTCACTTTTACTCCCAACATTGAAAGCAGATAACTGTACTTTTTACTCCTTATTTAGTCAAAATACTACTTTGTTAACCTCCACAGACGATGATGTAAATGGAGAGGGGTAAAGTCAACCTTGGTTGAACTCTTAGGTGATTAAAAACTTGAGGCTTAAATTTAAGGTGGAAAATACAGGAACGGCAGGGACATGGAGTGAGTAACTTGAACCACCTGGAGACAAGAGACTCGGAGAAGGAAGATATTCCCCAGCCATGGATTTAAGAGAAGAGTTTAATGATGTTTGCTCCAATAATGATTCTTGACGAATGCATCATGTCAGCTAATCCGAGAATTACATCAAGGTAAAGTGTATTTTTTTCATTTGTTGTCATGATCTAATTTAGCAAATTGTGTTACTAAATTCAAAGCATCAGCAAAGCTGTGAGAAAATGTTTTGATAGTACAAAAATCGAGCTAAAGCAAGATAGATTTTTACTTTTGTCAGACTCAGGGCTTTAGTTTTACCAGTATATTATTAGTTTTTTTTTTTTTTTTTTTTTTTACTCACATATCTCGACTTAAGTAGACTGTAAATACGGTTTCCACCTCGAAATACTTTACAAAAAATGTGATCACTGATAGGTGCTCGATACAACTGACATGAATGTATTGTGCTGGCTACTTCGCGACATAGTAACAAGAAAAAAAAACATTTAATTTTAAAGTCGTCTTTGCTTGCAGTCTTTGACGCAGCTTTCCACCGCAACGTATGTTGCGACATCGTCTAATATAGCGTTTATCCCAGCTGAAACGAACCTGTTTAGTAGTCAGGACCAACAGCAGGCGAACCCAACATGGCAAAGGCGTAAATTAGTGCTCTCCGGTCAAGACTGAATAGACCAGCCCCCGAGTTCTATTATTCGGCTCATTTCGTCAAGGCCAGGAGGCTTTCTGTTCCAACCCCGGGTAGGGAGAGAAAGTCACTGCCACAACATAAGCATGCCTATTTAACTCGTTAACGCGAGTACAAACATGGCACTGCCGTTGAAATAAAGGGTGGGTGAACACAGTCATGACACATTCCACCGGACGGAATATTGCGCGACTGTCAGCGCTTAAACATAAACGAAAAAGCTCAAGTTGTACGGCAGTCTGTTTAATAGGTCACGTCACGTCTGTACGGTCGTTACCTTTTTGTGTGGGTGCTCCGGACACGACCCGGGTTGAGGCTCCGTTGGCGTCCAGCGAGCTGGCTGCATGTATCCTTCCACCTCCTGCTGACGCGCACGGTCTGAGGACGCGGATGCCGGTGTGCAAGCCTTAAGTATGGTACCGGACCGCGTGCGGTTACATCGATGGACGCTGGTTAATGGTTAAACTCTCTCAAGTGCGCTCTCTCCCGACCCCTTCACATTACCGCGGCCCGTCCATTGGCCCCCGCTACCCGACTGCTCGGATGCGCATCTGCAATACAGCCGTCCGATGCAGGGGGCCAGGAAGCCACAAGGGAGACCTCCCTCTGCACTTTTAGCTGACGGGACGGGCCGAGCCACCCTCCACTCTACTCCACCGCCACTAGAGCTCCACTGCTCACAAGCTTGTTTGACCAATCTCATATAGAAAAAGCTGTAAACTGTTTGGGTATTTATTGAACAATATTGAAATCCCGCTTAAGGGTCACAGCTGTCTGTACTCACTAGTGCAGAGGTGTCAAACTCATTTCACATGGTGGGCCACATACGGCCTGGGTAGATGTCAAGTGGGCCAGACCATTAAAATGATACCATGCTTTGCTATAAATAACCAAAACAACATGTCTTTCCTTTGTTTTGGTATAAAGAAGCACAAGAACATTAGGAAAATGTTGAAATTAAATGAACATATCTTTTACAAAACATTTCATGAAGCACCTTACATTTCCTTTGACAAATGTGCAATTTACTTTTATCATTCACATATATGCATTGCAACTGATCCCACTGATTGTACAAACTTTAACAAGTAATTGGTTTTGAAAAATATAGTAATGCACTTTAAGATTAAACGAGATTTATAAAGAAAGGAAGTTTTAAACCATTTACACGTGCATATAAAATCTAAATGTAATCCCTGCCTACACCTTACAAACTAAGGAGCGTGCTATTAAATGTGTAAATGTGAGAGTGCTATTGATAGCGTCTGCTGTCATGGGTCTGTCTCAGTGATGGACTGAGGCTGCTGTTGTCTTCTTCTCTGATCAAAACAGTGTTCCCTAGCGGATACTCAATGAATTGCACCTTATTAAAAATATTTATTCTGTGTCTTTTATGCATTTTCTTCACTTTTAAATTATCCTGTGGGGCCTGATTGAACGGCCCGCGGACCGTATGTTTGACACCACTGCTTTACATAATCATCTCGCGGGCCGGATTAAAGTCCTTTGCGGGCCGGATCCGGCCCGCGGGCCGTACGTTTGACACCCATGCACTAGTGGGTCATTCCAGAACTGGAGTCCCCCCCGCCCCCCCCTTTCAAGTTTCAATTAAGATTAAGATATCCTTTATTTGTCCCACACTGGGGAAATTTATAGTCTACAGCAGCAAAATTGTGGGTAGAAAGAAGAAAAACAAAGTGTTTGCATTCACAAAATAAATGTTTCAGTTTCAATGTACACCATTAAGGCATGTGCAAAATACAGAAACATGCACTTTCTTTGTAAATTATGGTTATCCTGTCACAAAATGCAACTGCAGCTGTACTAAGAAATGATTCCCAAATCTAATTGAAAATACCAAACAGCTCTTGAGCACCCCACCAGGATTCATCTTGTCCCTGTCCCGTTTTACTGACCAACTTAGTCTTCCTTTTAATCGTTAAAACATTTTGTTTATCACTGGCAGTGGTTGTCACACCCTCTCAATATGCACACAATCCTGTTCGTAAAACTGTTGCTGTCATTTGGAATAAGAGGGGGAAAGCAAATTAACTTCATGACCCATCAGAAATGACATCATCACGCTAATTACTCTGAGCATGAGTAGACCTCAGGTAAGTCTTCTTATCATTTTTATTTATTTTTTCCAATGTTTTCGGCAGTGATGGGCTGTACGTTACCGTTAGTCTATGTTTTGTTTGACGGGCAACACATTTAATTGCAATGCAGCATTGTGTTTGTCTCACAAATCTGACACTATATGAGTGCCTCACCAGACATGAACATTACCACATGTCACTGCAAGGATATATGGCCGTGCGGCTTGCCATAGTCTTCTTCCTTGGCACCCTATTAAATTAACTTTGTCAAAGATTGAAATTTTATTTCAACAATGGACCAGCTTTTCTGTATCTATCAGTACACACATGCACTGGACTGAATTGATCTTTGTAAATAATAAACCACTTCACAGACTAAATACAAACTTCTTACATAAGTGTGTGTGGTCGTGTGGTACAGTTATTCATGCTCTGGCCCTGAGTTCAAGTGGATTTTTGTTTGTCGAGTGAGCATATTCTGTTTGGAAATAGCAGAGGAGAGTGTCAAAAGACTGCAAAAAGTTGTGTGAGTGTATTAATTAAATATATAGGATCTTTCATTCTTATTTGCATTTCGGAACTCCAAGCATAATTGTTTTAGAGTAGGGATTGGCAAAGTGGTGCCCCAGGATGGGGTTCGACACACCAACCATTTACATTATCAAGTCTCCTGTAATAAAATAATTGTTCCATCAATTCAGTCATTTGTTTTCCTAAAACCTGTTTGTTAAAATGCATTTATTTATTGTTGCTCAAGTTATCTAATTTTAAATAATAAAACATATTGAAAATATTAGACACTTTTTTTCCCATACATGTAAACATTTTGTAACCTCATCTTCAAATTACTCGGCCTCTCTGTACATTTTACAAATCAGTGTGGCCAGTGGTGGACCCTCAGGGCCAGCAAGGCCTTCTCTGCTGCCCTAAACATTCTCAGAAAAGCAAATTTACTTTTATGTATTTTATGTTATTTTATAATTTATGTTATTTTATTTTCATAAATATGTAAACAAAATTATTCTTTGTATTCTTTACATTATATTATTTCCACTTAGTTGAGTGGCTTTCAATGTTATTTTAAATAACATTGAAAGCCACTCGATAAATAA